TTCTAAAAGGTATTTATTGAAAGTACAAACATCGTTGCATCGCTGTTCCGACGGGCCGAGTGAGCCTTGCCAATCATTTCGGTCTTCTGCGCATGGGAAAGGATGTGTGAAGGTGGGAGAGGAGGTTATGCTAAGCTCGCCTCCTCGCGGGGGGGGGGGGGGGGGGGCGGATGTAAATAGCTCGGGGTTGGCGATGGCGGACATGCTGCAGGAGCTGTGGCTGTAGTCGTGAATCCTTCGCGTGGTTGCTGGTAAAAAAAAAGAGAAAAGGAACGCTCCGCTGCTGTCCTGTGTGATTTAGAAGTCGGCTCCGATCAGACGCTGTCCAAGGGGCAGTGTTACCGGGAAATAATGAAAACGTGCTGCGTCTTCGGATGTGGTGGGCGCATTCATGACGGTGTGTCGCATTTTAAATTTCTGGGAGGATTGACGAATTCAGAGCTCTTTCTTGATTCTGTGGATGGTGGTGCACGTTCGTTCTTAGTTGGTGGAGTAATTTGTCTGGTTAATTCCGATAACGAACGAGACTCTAGTCCATTAAATAGGCGCGTGGTTCTCTGTACCTTGCACCCTTCCTAGAGGCACAAGTGGCTCCTAGCCGCACGAAACAGAGCAATAACAGGTCTGTGATGCCCTTTGATGTCCGGGGCCGCACGCGCGCTACACTGAAGGAAGCAGCGTGTTTTTATCCCTGTCTGTTAAGACAGTAAGCTTAGAAAAAAGTGGCTTGAGCAAATACAGAGGCCGAATTGAATTCCATCCGATTACCCCCGAGCAAGTGTTCGTCTGTTTAAATAACAGGGCATAGTAAAATAAGTTTCCATAAAATTTCGCCAAAAATAAAAACAATAATTACTTCTTGGTGTTAACCAGTCTATACGACACAACTTCCGCGATACGCTCGACGCCACACACGAAAGGAGGGAACTTGCGGATGCTAACCACCCTCGTTCTCGGTTGTTAGCAAAGAAACCTCGGCGCGTCGGCCACCTCGCCCGTGGGTCCTTTGGCTTCGCACCTTGATGCGCGTCTGCTAGTTAGACAAAAACACATCGTACCGCTCGAGTTATTTCGTCTGTCCTCTCTGAAAGGCGAAGTCGATCGGGCTCGTTCGTGAAGGTAAGACAGCTGTTGAATAGCAGACGACGTTACAAAGGAGCAGGCGACGCTCAGATAGTGGCTCTCGGCGCATAGCACACCCTGCTCGGCGGAGCACCTTGGAGCGAAAGCTCGCGCTGCAGATCCAAGGGATCCTGGGTTCCATCCCCACCCCTGCCCGTTTCGATCTGGATGAGCATCGTACCGGCGTGTGTTCCCGTATATCACTACTGCGTGGTGCACGTTAAAGACCCCAGGCTAGCGGTTGTACGGCACTGGCTAAATTGCTCATCTACAGACTACAGCTGGGAGACTTGTCGCCCGTTCAGGCAAAGCAAGTTCTAGTCCGTATAAAAGTACACACAAAACAACTTTGGCGTTTTGTTTTAAGCCGCATCGCACCACTAACACATCACACGAAGGACAGTGCAGACACTGTGGGAGGCGTTCCTTGTACGACTGTCCTGCCACACGGGGCATACAAAAACAGTCTGCAGACTGTTTCTAAAATGCTTCTAAGATAGGCCCGAAGGATGTGTCCGTGTCCGCAGCCGACAACGTGTCTTCTGTAGGATGTATAAGCTGGGTTATACTGTGACTTTAAGCGTCGCCTATATCTAGGGCCTCTATCGCATAATACGGCGTAACCTTCGAGGTGAGCCAGCCGTCGACATCATCGTTGCTGCAGAATGTGCCTTATTCAACCTCTTACGTGCGCTTAATTTGTTCTTTAATCGTTTATTCGCGGCCCTGGCGGAGAAACGCTTTTGTCGCGTCGTTTTCTGGGTCAGTCTTTTTGGAGCCGAACGCGCTCGGTTTCTGGCTTCAAGTGGAGCGGTGCGCCAACGACCGCGGAGAAAGTCCATTTATTGTTTGTCACGCCTTCTTTCTATTTTCTCTCCCCGCTTAGAACTCTTTCGCCCCCCTGGTGCGCAACCGAGGCAACAATGGCCGGTTTGTTAGATAGCCCCACTTTGTTCCGCTTTTTTTTTTTTTTTTCTCTCTTTACATATATAAAAAAAAAAAAAAATATTTTGCGTGAGTTCTAGATCGCCGCCCTTTGTGGAAACGTGGCGGCGTGCCCGCTGCCAGCGACAGTGTTGGGTGGCTTTGCCTTTCAACGGGCTTTCCTCGGGAAGGAATTATGGTTATTATTATTATTTGTAACATCCCACTTTCGTGTTCCAGTTTGGGGTAAGTGGTGGGGTAACGCGCCGCGGAGTCCTCGCTGCGATTACGCTCAGGCAGTCTCGTACGCGTTATTTGAAAGAGGAAATCGATTACTAAGTTAGATTACTCGGTATTGCTCGAGATGGAAAAGTAATCGAGCCTTATTTGGAACCATTCCTTTTCCGAGTAGTTCGGATTTTCCGTAACGACAGATTTTTTTGTGCCGGTTTGAAAACGGCCCTTTGATTGGATTCGATCTAATCACCGAATTATAAGCTAATCTTCTTGTTAATCCATTAATTCTGGCAAACCGTCCTGCTGTCGCTGACTCAAGTATTTCGAGGATTTCTAGGAGACTTGTACGAAGGGCGCAGTTATAGAAAGAGGTAACGAGTAATTTGAGTACTTCCTAAATTAACCTGATTACTCTTCGGATTACTTTCTAATAAACATCTGGTGATTACAGGAAAAGTTCAAAAACTAATCCAATGCGAGGAATTTCATTAGTTGCGTTGTGTATCGTGCAAATGTGTGCTCAGCCATTCCTCGAAAGGGAACGATATTAGAGAGTCGGAATCTTCGCTACGCGGAGCGCAAGTCCATCCGCTTCTTGCGCGGGGTTTCGGTCACGGAAGAACTTCGAGCTCTGGTTGGCTCCGATTGGAAGGATAGTGGGTAGACCTCAATGCTAGATGCCTCGAGGTCTACCCACACTCTAAAAAAAAAAAAAAAAGGGTATCACCTTACACCCTTTTGTCCCATATATTACACCCCAAAACTTCATTTCGACGTACAGCGCCATATAGTCCAACATATGGCCTCAAATTTTACGAGGGTCTTGATAACGGTGGGATATAACCTATTAAATTGCTAAAGTATTTATCAAAGACCAAAGAAAGAAAACACGGAGTTTTTGCAGTAGGGCTAAGAAACCTCCGATAATCTTTTTTTGTAGCCAACATAACGTACACTAGCTATCTTAATAAGTTGTACCACGCGGCTATCAAGCCCCTCGTAAAGTTTGGGGCCGCCTGTTAGATTATAGGGCGCTGTATGTCGAATTGAAGTTTTGGGGTGTATTAAATGGGACAAAGGGTGTAATAATACACCCTGTTTTTCTGAGAGTGCACTATTTTGTTTTTCAATTAGCCAATAAGAGCTCGGTGTTCTGATATGATTGCCACCCCTGTGCAAGAAGCAGACGAACTTACGCTCCGAATATACATATTGGCGATACTTATACCATCTGAAAGTGTGACGTCTCGAGTTTTCGAAACGCTGTCAGGGAAAGCGCCATGACGAAGCACTTTCGGCGCCGCGCTTGATCGGCTCTCCATCGGTTCGTTCCTAGCGCCGCGGCTACCCTTGGATTTGGAGCGAAACGAAGTATAACGGCATCATCATCATCATCACTAGCAGCGGCAGTAGAACGGCGGCATCGTGCTGTTTGAGGCCGTGTATTCGAGCCACGCTGCTTTCTTTCTTTTTCTTTTGTTTTTTTCTGCTCGGCCAATTTTGCGGCCGCCACTGAGAGACAAAAGGTCAGGCGGTTCGCTCATCCATCACCCAGAAATTACTCGCTCGTGCAAGTCCGTGCTCCGTGGACCGCAGCCATCGGTTGACCATGCGGCCGACGCAATAGCGCCGTTAGATCTTCGCGTTTTATTTATTTTTACTTTTCCTTCTTTTTTGGTGCTTTTTGTATAGTTGGCCTTGATCGTAACACTTTACGTAGGAGGACGTACAATAGATTTTTCGAAGATAGGAAAGAACAAGTGGAATAGAAAAAAAGGAAGCAGCAAACTGGGCCTTTGAAGCGGTTATTTCCTCCGAAACACACTGAAGAATTTACGTGTAACACCTTGACTTTCTTGTACACCACCGAGGTCTGTCGAAAAGAAATAAGTTGGGGCAAGTAAATAAAAAAAAATTATATAAAACGAACGAAATATCGCAAAAGCCGCAATAGTACTGGAAATAAAAACGGCATACTTTCGATTTTTGCAATTCATATATGGTTTGTTTGATATAAATTATATAAGACGCATATAACTCGCTAAACGATTTTGTGTGTTCTGATATATGTTTATTGGATACATTTGCGCGCACCTTTTTCACCCTAACTCTCCCTCTTTTTTCCCCCTCACTTTTACAGGATACTTACTACACGTGCAAAAGCGTTCTTAGGAAGGCAGTTCGTGTTTTGTTTCTACATCGAAATTGATTCGGGATATTGTACACTGCGTAGCAGTTAGCGTGAAGGCGACATCTGGGCGCGAGGGTGTGGACACGAGCACCATATTTCGACGCAAATGTGCGAATTGCACCCTCTCATACGGTCGAACCCTTCTAATCGGGCCGATACTTGCACCACCTAGCTAAATCTTTCAATTTCAACAATTATATATTCTAAAAAAAAAAAAAAAAACAGTACGGTTAAGTTTTTTTTAACAATGTATTTACAAATCCGGATGGATGGATGGATGAATACGGCTGAGCCCTTTGGATCGGGCGGTAGCTTACGCCACCTAGCCGAAATCCGGAATTCGACGCCATCCAGCGCCACCTCCCGGGCTTACCTGTCAACTATTGTTGCTGTAACTACTGGCTAGGTGGCGCAAGCCACCGCCCTATTGAGTAGGTTCGGTACTATGTACGCATCCATTCGTCCATCCGGGGCGTGACGTCAGGTACAGGATGTTGGTTGACCCCCGCCCGTTGGCTACTTGCAGGAGCTCCTGGACCTGGTGTCCGGCCTGCAGTCCGCCATGGCCGAGGAGCAGCGTCGCTTCGACGCCCTGGGCCTGCAGCTGCAGCGCTGGCCCCTCTCCCAGGCGGATTCCGACGAGCAGAGGGCGCTGTCGGCCGCCCTGTGCGCCTCGCAGCTCAAGCTGGCCAGGCTGTGCGCCCGCAACATGCGATGCTTCACCCAGGTAGGAATCATGCCCCCTCTACCCATACCCATACCAGAATTCAATGCAATTAAAAATTTTTTTAATACTTAGAGTACAAAATGGTTGCTAAGAGGGCAAGGGTAAAAGGCTGCAATAATGCAGCTTGTCAGCGCCCCTCACCCTTAGTTTAATGAGTTCGACGGGCAGAACGGGCAGAAAAAATGACAAAATATTTCAGCAGCAACTGCCAAGTTATATAGTATACAAAGAAATAATAGAAAGAAAAAGAAAACGAATTGGCTGAAAGTATTTTTTGTTTCTAAGCTCAACGAGAGCGCCTTGCTCGTCTAAAAAGTTCTATAGTGCGGGTGACGTGCACTGAAGCATCTGCTGCCCGTATTTTTTATTTTTTTTTCTAGGACGTAGCATTCCTTAGAATCCGGCGCTGCGCACTCCGTACGCAATATTTTCGTATGATTTCAATATTTTCGAATTAATGAAATACTTTCATTCATTCTATCAATCTATGTTTTCCTGTGCCCCAATCACCTGGCTTTATTTAGAAGGGGTGCACGTACGCAAGGTGACAGATAAATATGAATAAAAAGCACACTTCGGTAAATTACTCCAGAAGTGTAATTTAAATATAATTACAACTACTTTGCTCCATAAGTAGTTTATTACAATTACAATTACTAGGACAGGAGAAACTCATTACAATTACAAATTACTCAGAAAAATAGTTAAATTACCGTAATTGTATCAATACCCACATCTGCGAAAGAGTAACCATCGGTAATAATAATATTATTAATGTTGTTAGTGATCACGTTATTACAGTTTAATAATAATAATAATAATAATAATAATAATAATGTTTATTTTTCTGTTCCCCAAAACAAGCAGCAGGTCTTCATTTTGGTGCCCAAACAGGATTCATACAAAACAAAGAACTAGAGCAAAATACAGAAGCGGAAAGGTCATACTTACATAAATACACCCCGCTAAGGAGGTTACGCGAAGAGCATAACAAGTGTGAGACGGGGGAAATCAATAGAAGCGTCGTCCCTTGTCGGAAACTCATTGTGACGTCAGGGGGGAGGGTAAGTAAGCCTGGTTAGTATTCATGATCCGTCTCCCCCCCTTTCTAAGTTGAGAGTGCGGTGGGAGCTACACTCGCAGAAATAGGGGGTGCACTATTTACACCCCTTGTCTTATAGATAACACCCCAAAAACTATATACGACGTTCAGTCCACTGCCGTCGAACCGACAGTATCAACTGTCCCGCGCGGTTTGATAGTCGAGTGATACAGCTCATTGAGATAGCTAATGCACGAATTAAAAACTACAGGAAAACATTGTAGGTTTTGTTGACCCTGCTCCAAAACCTCAGTGTTTTTCTTTTTGGTAGTCTTTGATACGTAAGTCATAGAAGTCATATCACGCGGCTGCCAAGCCGCTCGTCAAAGATAATACCGCCAGTGCGACGTCAGTGGACTGAACGTCGAAATGTAGTTTTGGGGTTTGGGGGTCTCGGAACAAGGGGTGTAAGTACTGCACTCACTGTTTTGTGAGAGTGTATGCGCTCCCCGGACCAACGAACCGCCTCCCTGATTACCCGATCCCGCTCTCTGCGCGTGGGTATATGGGCGGGATCTATTATCTACGTGCTTCGTAATTGATTCTTCTTCATTCTTATCGGCAAATGCTGCCATCGGATTGGCTGCCGAGTGATAATGGGATGCTCGAGACTCAGCAGGCAGTTTAAGCTGTCAGTTAATATTGTCACGAATGACAATGGATGAGGCGGCGAATAATTGGGGAAACTAAATGTTTTAATGGGGCGAACTTGTGCCCAAAACAAAATAGAAGGTTAGCGTCGCAGGCGTCGATGTCGGCGAAACAGCGGGATCTAGCGCTGGGGCAATACTGACTGCGGCTCGCCACGCGGAGTCCCTTATGTAGACCATAGCCTCCTATACACTGACAAAACCTGGCAGATCGCCACGAGAAGCGGCCGCCGAAATAATGAAGGTGGAGCGGCAGAGAACGGATGAGAGGAGAGCCACGTGACTGGCGCCCCGCTGCGGCGAGACGCCGGAACACACTTCTCCCGGGCGAACAAAGGTGTTTCGGGTCCTCGCCGCTGCAAAATCTGTGCGCTGACGTCCAGGTTCCCCGAGGAATGGCTCTTTGATGCTCTGTGCTACCAGACCCTCGCGCTCCAAATCTGCCACCGGGCACTCTATGGCTCTGTCGTCGAAGCGCCAGGCTTTGGGAGTATAGAGGAGGCTATGTGTAGACGCGTGGGCTCCAGGAACAATCGGCGTTGAAAGTTCGGCGCGTAGAACATTCTAACCTCGAGTTGTCGAATCTACCAGAGGACGACATTACAGAAACAAGAAAAAGGTGTATCGGCGGCCAGGCATCGAACCTCGGCTTTTCGCGTGGGAGGCAAGCACGATAACTCTAAGGCCACGGACACGTTGCCTACTTAGCCAGCTGCGCGCGCGGCAACATAGCATACTTTTTCTTGGTAACTTATAAGTAGGATGCGAGCATTCAGAGGGTAGGTATTTTCAAGGTCGTATTCCGCGTTCTATTTGCTTTTAACGGCAATTTTCGATCCTTCGGACACGTGCATTGTCCGACGCGGAGAGTAGCGGCCGAATGGTTCCGCCAGATTATACAACGAAATTCAGCGGCGCCCGACGACGTGCCTTTGGGAGGGGGAGGATGTCGGTGGGAAGTTATCGGGCCCAACGCGCTACACATCGGCGAACAAAGCGAATCGCATCCATGAAAGGGCCGGGCGAGCATTGCGATTCCGCGCGGAGGGATGCATAGCCGCATGTGGCCAGGGCAGCGGCAGATGACCCATTTACTCGGCGCTCGTTCCAGTCGACCGCCCGCTTGGCCCATGCCCCCTCCTCCCCCCCTCGCGTTCTGGCACGCGCCGAACAACAAGACGTAACTGTGCCGACGCGCACCGCTGACCGCCCGCACCCGTCGCACGGAACACACGGGTCTGTCTCCAAGTTCCCCGGACATCCGCATCTATATGGTCACATTGTTCCGGACGTCCGTGAGTCAACGCATTTTGCTGACGTCACGTCGTGCTGTCGCCACATACTTTACTATAAGGAATATTCACTGGGCGCCATATTTGTGGTTGCTGTCTAGAGCGCATGCTCAGAACGAGCCCCCATTAATAAACTGCTAAAACCTGCCATTTTTACGGTGTGGAATGCACGTTGCAAAAGAACCCTGGAAGCTAGCCATCAGCACGCGCTCAGCAGTCGCGCACACAGCTATGGCCGCCAGTGAATACTTCCTATACATGGTATTCACTGGACTCCATGTGACTGCTCGCAGCGCATGCTCGGGGGGAGTTCTTATTTACGGTTTCCCCCAGGATACAATCTTAATGGTGCTCAATGTTCGTGTTGGAAGCGCTGCGGAAGCTTGCCGTCAGCCCGTGTTCAGCAGCAGCGAGCTCAGCATGGCCGTCAGTGAACACCGCCTGTAGCCGGTGACAAGGCTCCTCCCACAAAGCCTTCCACTCTGCTGGAGTCACCCCTCGCCTCCTCTCCACCTTTTTCTCTGTTAAAGTGGAGAGAGTGGAGGGCTTTGGTGGGAGGAGCACGCGGCCCGTTCTCACACTTGCCTTTGCTTAGGATCGAGCTCTAGCGATCTCTTACGAGGATGAGGCACACTGGCACGCTGGCGCCATCTATGAGGCGACCGTGGAACTGAATTTCCACTAGAGCGAAGGGTTTGCGGTATTCGCGAGATCAAATATTTCTCTATCAGAGCCGGTCGTTTATAAGATTGCCGAAGGGTTTTCGAGCCAATAAAGAAAGAATGATGCGCGAAAAAAATGTAGGAAATGTACGCGAAGCACAAGTGCTCCAGGGCTACCCGACACATGGTGCCAGTGTGCTCTCACGTCGTAGATCACGAGAGGTTTTAATGCAGTCGGTCGTAAGCGGTGGCAAGTGTCGCGATACTGCCGAGGTTTCGACAAGGTTCGACTCTTGCGAGCTTGAAACGTAAAATTGGATTTAAAAAAACACTTTTTTTTTTTCGCGTGCGCGAAAAACAAAAAGTTGACGCCACCCGCGGGGGGAAAAAAGCAATATTTTATTGGGTACTTTGTTTCACATTATTAAACTTGCTCAATCATTAAAAACCGATATGTTTGCTTTTACAGTGTGTAAATGGTGGTATTCATTTTATGAACTACAAAATAAATATTAATATAAATGATTTGTTTTCCAAAATTTGAAATTTTCGGAAAGAACTCCCACAACACTGTCCATAAGTTCGAACTTGCTCGAATTAGTCGAACTCGAGGTTCGATGTCGAGCCTCGAGTTCGACGTAACTTCGCTACATCCCTTTACTCGCAAGCAAGTGTGTGCACTAGCCTTATAGGGGAACTTACAAACATACATTTCCGTTTGACTGTGATCGAGTGCGTTCCGTATCTTTTTAACCGCTCAACACTGCTCGTATACTCCTTGTCACCTCAAAAACTATCTTAAAAAAAGGTCCAGCTCCTCGCGGGTCCTCTCCATTATGCGGAGAATGTACGTACATTTTAGATTAGATATATGCTATCTTATCAAGACGTAGTACGTTTCAAGCGCTAAAAGCATGGGTTCTCTCTCCGACAACCAGATCTGAACTATACTTCGCGCGACGTATAAACAATGCGCAAAACTTTTTTTTTTCTTTTTAATGTGACATTGAGATGGAAGAGGTGATCTATCTCAAACCATGGGTGCCGTTTGTAATTTAATGGCGGTCGTCTTCCGCGGAGATTTATCCCAAGTGCGCACGCGCTGCGCTGTGGCGAGGAGCGAACCGGGCGGAAAAGCAGATACACTTGCAGACGGTGAACGCTTTCACCATCTCCTCGCAGCTCGCATTATGCAAACGCTGCCGACAAACCACGTGACTTCTATCGAACGGTAACCACTTGTAACATTGGCAGAATTATTTGAAGCCCACGGTGAGAGAATCATGCGTAAAAC